GGTGGCTCAGTGGGTTAAAGCCTCTGCCTTCCGCTCAGGTCATGATCTCAGGGTCCTGGGATCGAGCCCCGCATCTGGCTCTCTGCTCAGCGGGGAGCCTGCTTCCTCCTCTCTCTCTGCCTACTTGTGATCTCTGTCTGTCAAATAAATAAATAAAATCTTTAAAAAAAAAAAAGATAGCTCATACAAACCATGAGACACTTAATCATAGGAAATAAAGTGAGGGTTGCTAGAGGGGAGGAGGGGAGCGGGATGGGGTACCTGGTGATGTGAGGAGCACTGGGTGTTATACACAACTGATGAATCACTAACCTCTACTTCTGAAACTAATAATATACTATATGTTAATTAATTGAATTTAAATTAAAATAAATAAAACACAGCCCATGTAAAACAAATGCAGCCAGGGTGAAGCAAAAAGCCACAAATATATACATACATATGTATGTGTGTAAATGCCTTTTGCATTTGAAGAAAATACCACTAACCTAAAACAATGCAAATAAATAGAGGGGAAAAAACAAACATTCAAAACAATACCCGTTCAGAGCCTGACCATATCTTAAAAAAACTACTGGTGATCAGATACAGTATTCCTGGCAAATATACCTACATAAAGTCAAATAATCATTTTTTTAGCATCTACCTTAAAACACTGTACTAAGATTGGAGAGTTAAAGGATGATCAAAGGTTTAAACTGTTTTTAAAGGTGATGGATACATTGGCGGGGAAGTTGAACACTACCATGTGCAACGCAAAGGTGGGATATAATTGTAAGATGGACAATCATGAAAAAAGAATGAGGACTATATTAAGATAGAAGCCAGCTAGGAGACCTTCAGTATTGGTGTGGAATTAAATACTCATTTTTTTCCCCCGCCAGATCACTCTTAATATCCTCTAACCAAAAAACAGACTCAACTATAGAGAACAAAGTGATGCTTACTGGGCGGGGGGGTGGGGTGTTAAACAGGTGATGGGTGTTGAGAATGGCCCTTGTGATAAGCACACGGTGTTGTGATGAATCACTAAAGTCTACACCTGAAACTAATACCGTATGTATGCTGGCTGACTGGGATTTGAACAAAAACCTGGGGGAAAAAATCCGGTTATTAGTACCACTATTTAAATTATGTATTACTAAGTACAGTAAATAACCCAATGTTTTTCTTTTTCCTTTGAAATGCCTCTTCTACTCTTCCTGTTCTCGTGGTCATATCCTTAGACCAGGTGTTCATCACTTGGTACTTATTTCACTAAAATTACGTTTTTATTTATGTCCTTACATATACTCTCACACTTAAAATTTTCCTGAAATGCTCCTCCCTCAGTATATCACTCTTCAAGTCAAAACTCCTCAAAGACTGCTGCTGGAGTATCACATGAAAATTCACAGAACTGTCATTCAGGTCTTCTTAGTACTGGCTCCAATTTATCTACTCACTTTATCTCTTAACAATACCTAACCTCCAATGTGAAATCTCTACCACTTGAACCATTCCCAACATGCCTTTGCTTCAGCCACTGTTACTGACTTGGCCCTCACACCTGGGCTCACTCCCCTTCCCTGACTTATCAAGCTCAAATCTCTCTCTCACTTCTTTGAACAACGTACTAGACAAAACAGTACTTCTTCAACTTTTTTTTTTTTAACTTCTTCAACTTTAATGTGTATGTGAATAACTTGGGGATCTTGTTAAAAATCCAAATTCTGCTTCATTTCTGAGATGGGATAGGAGATTCTTCCAGGTGATGCTGATGTTCCTGGTCTATGAATCGTATTTTTTAACTCATACATGAAACTATCTCTAAACCACAATAAGTAGGGGAAAAAGGCAAGGTAAAAACTGCATCAACTGCAAATTTTAAGTGCAGAAAATACATTTATTTGCTTGTATGTATAGAAGAATATCTCTGAAGGTATCCTCAAAAAGGTAGAAAACTGTAGCTGCCTCCAAGGAGGCAGCTGAGGCATATACTGAGAAGGAAAATCAATTTTCAATGTACTTTTAGCCCTTTTGGAGTTGTGCATGTATCACCTATTCAAAAGGTAGATTTAAAATGCTTTTGCAAAAAAATAAATTCCAGGGTGACTCAAT